CCCCATATTTGCTCTTCTGTTTTCCCTGACCCACCAAAATCAAATATTCCTCCTGCTGTCCTTCTCACCCATTTCCTTGACCATGTCTCCACTCATTCCTACAGTATTCACTTATATACTGATGGCTCCAAATCCACCTCTAGTGCTGGTTTTGCAGTAATCTTTCCAACTCGTACTTTCAAATACTCTCTCCCTCCTGAATCCAGTGTCCTTACTACAGAACTGTACGCACTCCTTTTTGCCCTAAAACACATACTCATTCCCCTCTCCCTTTTTTACAATTTTTACTGACTCCCATAACTCATTACCTCTCATAAAGTCAATACACACCACCAACCCCCTTGTTTGTAAGATCCAGAACTGGTTGTTCTACCTGTCCACACGCCATAAAACAATCAAATTTTGCTGGGTGCCCAGCCATGTTGGAATCCCCGGCAATGAACAAGCAGATACACTAGCACGCTACGCCGCTATGTCCACATCATACCAACCACGTTTCTCACGTATCCCAGCCACGAATTATTACCCACACTTTAAGACGTGGCAATCTTTTTGGTCAAGTGTCTGCACTAATAAATTATACTGTAAAACTATCAATCTCCTCCTGGTCAGCTCCATTTCATCGGAACAGACGTTGGGAGACGGCTCTCGCCCGCTTACGCATTGGCCACACCCGTCTAACACACTCCTGATTGATATCACAATCTGATCCACCCCTTTGTTCCTTATGAAATGTTCCCCTTTCAATCCCAAACATCCTATTGTCGTGCCCACGTTTTGAAGCAGCCCGTACCTCTGCTTTCCCCCACCTATCCTCCCTTCACCGACCTCCCAACCTATCAGACATCCTTACAGAATCCCACACTTTCTGCTTCAACAACCTGTTCTCTTTCCTCAAACGCATACATATCCTTCATCTAATCTAACTCCTTACCACACCCGGCCTTAACCCTTTCACTCACCAATTCCTTTGCCCAGCTTTGACAACTAATCACTAACTCAAACACCCTTCATTAACATTAACTATAGTGCTACATGACCTTAGATGTCTAGCACATTTATCTTGCTTTTAACCATTAACCATTAACCATCTAAAGCATGTAGTGGCTAGTGGCCTAATATATTGACTACGTGGACATGTATAATAACGTTTATATTCATTACATATCACTATTTCCAAATTCACGGTAACTTATTATGATTAGGAATTAGTCTTATGCTGAATAAAAGAAAGAAAAGAAAGAAAAAAGAAAAGAAAGAATGAAGGGAAGAAAGAAAGAAGGAAAAAGAAAAAAAAAGGGAATATATATATATATATATATATATATATATATATATATATATATATATATATATATATATATATATATATATAACAGAATAAGGTCAAATCTCCCTCGTACATTTCAGGCCCTCCATGAATTCATAGTTAAAATGATTATATTATTCAAATATAATTCTAAAGCGGCAATAAGTTTGTGAACGTGGAAGTTAATAAATGAACATGTAAAAATTCCTGCTAGCCGATTTATGAATATATAATTTTACTATTTGAAAAAAAAAATCTATTAGACCTAAGAAAGCAGTATGCTAGACAAATAATAACTGGTACTCACTTTATCTTCCTAAACCAGACGTCAAAAAGTTGGTTTGTTGCTAAACTAAAAAAAGTAGCAAATATAGCGCTAAATTTCCAATTTTATGCGGAATAGAATACAGTATGTATACAAGATATTCCCTGGCTGGTATTCACTATCGACTTTTTACAATTTGCTATATGAAGTCTTTTTTATCAATATTGTTAATAAATAAACTACTGGTACTTCGTCAAAGCCTAATACTGAATAATCAAAACAGGAACGGTATGGCTTAGTTTGGTTTTCATGCTTAGGAAGCTAAGGAGAAAAACAGAAATACAAAAAAAGTAAATAGAAACACTGTCTCTCTCTGTCTCTCTCTCTCTCTCGCTCTCTCTGTCTCTCTCTCTCTGTCTCTCTGTCTGTCTGTCTCTCTCTCTCTCTCTCTCGTTCTCTCTCTCTCTCTCTCTCTCTCTCTCTCTCTCTCTCTCTCTCTCTCTCTCTCTCTCTCTCGCTCTCGCTCTCTCTGCCTCTCTCTCTCTCTCTCGCTCTCGCTCTCTCTCTCTCTCTCGCTCTCGCTCTCTCTGCCTCTCTCTCTCTCTCTCAGCTCTCGCTCTCTCTGCCTCTCTCTCTCTCTGCCTCTCTCTCTCTCTCTCTCTCTCTCTCTCTCTCTCTCTCTCTCTCTCTCTCTCTCTCTCTCTCTCTCTCTCTCTCTCTCTCTCTCTCGCTCTCTCGCTCTCTCTGCCTCTCTCTCTCTCTCTCGCTCTCTCTGCCTCTGTCTCTCTCTTTCTCTCTCTCTCTATCTCTGTCTGTCTCTTCTCTCTCTCTCTCTCTCTCTCTCTCTCTCTCTCTCTCTCTCTCTCTCTCTCTCTCTCTATATATATATATATATATATATATATATATATATATATATATATATG